ATTTGGCGTAGAACTGTTGAGGCATGGACCGGTGATATACAAGCGAAGTTTGGGGGACGATCGGACCATGTCCATTGGAGTTACAGTGACATCGTGTTTTATGGTGAGGGATGCGTTTCCATGGAAATGGCATATGAGGACACCCCATAATTGACGTAGAGCTGTTGAGGGCTGGACCATTAACCATTATCTGAAGTCTGCTGCTGTTTTATGGCGAGGTATGCGTTGCCATAGTAACACCACATTACGTAACATCAGATTTGATGTAGAGCTGTTCAGGGCTACAGTGTTAACCATCATATGATGTTTTGTGGCGTTCTGAGCATGTCAGTTGGAGTTATGACATCATCGTGTTCCATGACACAGGTGTTTATATTTGAGCTAACAACGTTATGAAACACCTGCGCTTGAGCCCAGAGATCAAAGGTTTCCATGGTGATGTGTGGGAGACATTTGGCGCAAGGTGTAGTTAAAAGAGGATTTGAAGGTTCCTCCCATTGAGTTACATGTTCAAAAAAGAGTTTACAAAGCTGGATATTTCAAAAAGTGTAAAATATTTCGAAAAAGTTGAAAGTTTCCCATTATGTGCTGAAAAGGCTGAATAGTTTGATATTTGAATGGTTTCTGTAGCTGAAAGTATGCTGAAGTTATTGAGAGCCAAAGTATTAGGTGAAACTAGAAAATGCATTTTCTGTAGAAAATGCGTGCGAATGCTGTAAACTGTGAACATTTGTGGCTGAATTTAGCTGAAAATGCAGAAAAAGCTGAATATTTTATTAGCTGAATGGTAGCTGCTTTTAGCTACAGAGACCAAATAAGTGTGTTGCTGAACTTAGCGGAGAAATGCAGAAAAGTGAAATGATTTTAATCAAATTGTTACAGCTCAAATGCATTTCAATGACTGTTGAAAACTTGAAAGTGAAATGTTAAACTTGAAGAGTAGGAAAAATAGTGAAGAAGCTTAATATTTAAAAGAAAATGTTTAAAAAAGTATAAACAACAACATGTATAGCCTCAATGTCCTGAAATAGCTGCATAAGTTAATAGTTGAATGGTTTATAGCTGAAAGTAGGCTGAAGGAGTTAGATATTAAATGTAAGTAGTATTGAATGAATGTTTACAAACACCTGTGTGTGTAAGCCCTGAGATCAAAGGTTACCATGGTGACGATGTTATTAAACACCTGTGTACGTGAGCCCAGAGATCAAAGGTTTCCATGGTGATGTGCAGTAATCAGTGAGAGGAGAGCCTTTCCATTGATCTGAATGAGAGATAAACCTCTTACATTTGAAAGTTTTGTTGAAGAACTGTGGCAGATATCGGTGACATTTCAACGCGGGAAGTGTCTCAGGACCCTGACGAGCATCTGAGTCTGCTTTTTATGTACTTTCGGGTCAATAATGTGGCCTTTTTGGCAGATTAACTAAAGGTGTGCGGCTGCTGCTGTGAGGAAAGATCAGGCTGTATTTACAATGGGCCTTAATGGAGGCATGTTGAACGTTTTTGTCACTTCATGCACTCAAGAGGCATTTTGTTTAATTATTTTGCTCAATTTTTTTGTTTTCCAACCTAGGAGAGGTTTTCCTACGTTTTTCATGAAAAAGTATGTCTCAGGAGTGTAGGGTTTGGGAATTATGGCAAGTTTAAAAAAAAATATGAAGGCGAATTTCAAGCCCTCTCCACTCTAGCTGTGACATCACTCACACTAGCCTTAACGATTGAGTTACATGTTAAAAAAAGAGTTTAAAAAGCTGAATATTTCAAAAAGTATAAAATATTTTGAAAAACTTTTGTAAGTTAGTGCCCATTTCTGATTGTTTAAACGTTTCAGACAAACACAAATATAAACAAATTTAACCTCACAAAGAAGAAAAACAAATCTGGGCTGAAAATGTCTTTAAATAAATTATCTGAATCTAAATGTAAATTATTCAAGCTCATATTTCATCACCACATACTTTGTACTTCGCTTCGTGATGCGAGTCATCTCCCTCATCATTTTATATTAGTACATCAGACGTGCACAGTGGCCAACATGGGCATTACATGTTAGTGTGTCGAAATAACTTCTTATTGCGCACATTTATCCAAAAACTTGCTTTGAATTTGATCAACATTATATTTGATATGCAATGTTGCACTCCAACTAAACTATGCTCTGAGGCCCAATGGTGGGGAATAGCTGCTGTAAAGTGTGTTACATACCTATAACATAAATTCTTCCTTTGAGACTGCAAGCAACTGAACCAGTGCAGGCGATCTGCATGGGGGCAACCTCGGTCCACATCGAGTGTTTAGGGTTGTACACCTGAGGTCTGTCTCGTCATCATGCTCTAGAACGGCTCCACCTACCAGGACAGGTTGACACAAGCATAATAAGTGGAAAAACTGCAAATATTTTAGTCAAAAAGCACAACCTCAGGAAAAACGTTCATGTGTGTAGTCTGTGTTTCCTACCAATAACATAGAGCAGTCCATCAAGGGCCACCACAGCGGGGCTCGTGACGGCCATCTTCACAGACTCCGTGAACTGCCAGGAGTTGGTGTGAGGGTTGTAGCACTCCACTGAGTCCAGGAGGGACCGCCCTTCCCACCCCCCCATTGCATACACAAAGCCATCCAGTGTTGCCAGGCCTGAGGGGAAGATTAACCAAATCAGTAATCACGTTTTATATAAACATGACAGATATTTACCCCACATGTTAGGGTTAACTTAATTAAGAGCTTCGATGTGTCATGGCTCAGCGGCGGAAACAAAACTGAACTTATGCGTGTAGTCTCTTTCTACACTGTAGAAAAACAATTCTTATCTTTTCGGGTTGGGTTCCGAACTCTATCGACTGTGTTACATTTCAAATGAGGCCAACTTTTAGTGCCTGGGAGGCAGAGTATATGATCTGCAGCCATGCCGCACCTCAGTGTCGTGTGTAATGTGCTGGCAGAGGAAAAGAGAAAGAGGTGTAGATTGTTCCATACACACTGAGTCAAGGTAACGGCATCCCACAGTGGTTCCAAGTCTGGTAGCAGTTTCCATACTCGACATACAAACTCAATACAACACATGTAGACAAAATGCAAAGCTGGCGTTCTTACGTTGTACACAAGTGACAGGCTGAAGGTAGTGGTGATGTGTTTGAGAGTCGAGAGGAAGGGAGGGGGTTTACTTTGTGTGACGTGTTAAATATTAAGAGGTGAAATTACATTTTCTTAAAGTGGACCTATCATGCTATATTTAAATGATATATTGTAGGGCCATACCTATATAAGGTATATTTATACGTTTCTGTTTTCAAAATACCAAACAGATCATGCATTTTAGCCATGCCTCATTTCGCTCAATTTGCTGTTCTCCAGCCCTGTTTTTGCAGGGGGCTGATTCTGTGAGCTGCAGCTGACCACGCCCCCTGCAGGAGAGGGGAGCGTGCTCTGATCAAGTCAGAAAAGGGGGAGAAAAATAGATCTCCGTCCTCCGTGTTTTATTATATTATTATATAGAGTCGTTATTCATTTGTTTTAAAGCTCAATAAATAACAAAGAAGACCTTTGACCGGCACTTTTCTAATTTTGTCTGGAAGATTTAAACTTTAACGGACATCTTGACCGGCGAAAGAAAATCTAACTGAAACTCTGCCGCACGGTCCCCTCGTTCCTTGGAAGAGGCGGAGAGGTGGGTGTTTGTCATCTGCTGGTGGACTAACCGGAGAGAATTACAGTGCTTGCCTCGACGGGGAGGGATTGCATTGAATTACAGCAACAGGAGCAAACGCTTGCCTCGGGGAGGGAGAAAAAAAGCCACAGCGGAGAATAAACAGAAGGGTAACCATGGTAACCATGCGCGGGAAGTCTTCTTCGCTGCTTTTGTGGCAGACTACAGCGCCACTTACAGGCCTGGCATATGTACTACAGCGTCTCCAGCGCTTTCGAGCGGCAATGGCCGGCGGTCCTTCAGCAGCAGGCGGTCCTTCAGCAGCAGGCGGTCCTTCAGCAGCAGGCGGTCCTTGGCCTCAGAGATCAGCTTCTGGCAGGCCTGGTTCTCCTTCACCACATCCAGAGACTCGATCACATCGTGGAAGTAGTACGGGCTGATAAGAGACAGGCGGATGTGTTCAAGGACCTTTGAGGAAGGATTAGAAAAAGAGAACAGAGACAAACAGACAGCACCTTGACTGTCAATTCACGTGTTAGATAAAACCGACAATTTAAAGATTAGCCGGTCATCACTTATTTTCAGTAAGTTAGTTGCTGTTCAAAATTGCCATGTGTAAAAGTCGCAGGAGAAGCAACACGACGGAGAGAGGACCTGAGACTGCCTGTTAGTTAGCGGACTAATTAGGCTAGCGAATCATAGCAGCCGATATCTCTCTCTGGAGTCATACTATCCTTCGTTTCAGCAGAATACATACCAGGCACAGACAGGCGATATAAACAGGGCTGCACATAACTGGTGCGCAGGTGCGCATGCGCACCCCCCGCCGAAAAAGGAGCCCCGGATCATTTGAAAAAAGGCGCATTTGCACACCAACATTGAGAGAGAGAGAGAGAGAGAGAGAGAGAGAGAGAGAGAGAGAGAGAGAGAGAGAGAGAGAGAGAGAGAGAGAGAGAGAGAGAGAGAGAGAGAGAGAGAGTATGCATAAGAACTGGTAAGATAGCAAGGTTCCCACACATAGACTTTACTTGGGCGGGCCGCCCAGGTATATTAACGGCCGCCAAAGTATAATTCGCCCCCCCGTTCATAAAGTCAAGTACCCCTCAAAAGGTCCGGTTTATTTCATTTTAAGGATGCGCACCAAGCAACATCTCCAGGTGCTCCTTTGAGAACCAGGGCAAAAAAGTTATGTGCACCCCTGGATATAAAGCATTCAGCAGTTGTAAAACATAATACCTGTTAGACACTGTTACGTGCCGTGTTTTTTTGTGTGTGTCTCTCTCCCCCTCTCCCCCTTCTTCTTCTTCTTCTCTTTTTAATGTGCCCCTCTCTCCCCCTGATTGTCTCCCTCCAGGTGCAGCCTCTCCCTCAGGTGCTCCCAATCCCCAATCAGGGCCTCCATAAAGGACCTGAGGAAGGCTGCAGTCTCTCTCTTCCTTCTCCTCTGGCTCCATGTGCAGCATGTGTGGGACCTGTTAGGTTAACCTGTGTTTTATTCATTGTTAGCTGTGCTCCAGTTTACCTTTGTGTATTGTTTACTTTGGTCACTTTCTTTTAGGAGAAAGTTGTTCTTAGTTGACCTTAAGTTTGCTTTGCAAATTGGCTGGTGAGCCTCTTTTTCTTTTATTAATTAAAACATCACCTTGTGGCTTCACAAATCAGTTTCCTCTCCTTTTTTCTCTCGCCCGGCTATTTTATATTTTGTTACTTCCCTTTGGTACCCCTAGTCCAGGAGGGAACGTACTGTAACAGACACAATCGTGACCACAACAGTACAAGCCCACCCTCTGCAGTCACAGTTTACCGCCAAACGGTAACGGCAGGGGCTGCTTCTCACTTCGGTTAAGAAGCTTCCAACGCCGCTGTGTGGACGGGCCGTGAGAAGCAGCCGCAGCCAGGGCTTTAAAGCCTCTCACCGGAAGTCCCGCCCACAGCTCAAGAGCAATCACCCCCAAGTACTTCCGGCTATGTGTAAGTTCCCAAGCTGAGAAAAAAGTGGAATGTTTGGAATGATAACCAAAGTCTTTAATGCATTAGTTTTACTATTATATGCAATACGTTACTTTAAAGGTCCCATGTCATGCTTTTCCGGTTATTACCCGTCCCCTTGTGTGTTATGAAGCTTTTTCTGCATGTAACCATCTGCAGAGTCACAAACCCTCAAAGTACACCCTGTAGCGAGTAAAACTCTAACACAGAAACAACCTGGTCTCACCAGAATGCGTGACTCCACCACGACTCCTTAACACCGCATTGCGTGGTGGAGTCACGAACTTTGCTACATTTACGTGTCTGCACCACGCAAACAACCCCAATGTAAAGTGAATGAGGCTCCTTTGTCGTGGTGCACACACGCATTTCTACAACGTCCCGCAGTGAGCTTTTATTCTATAAAACGTTTTTAAAATCTACTTTATAGCTTGTAGTAACTCACGGGAGGCTTCTTTTATTTTATTTGTATTCATAATAATTTTTATTTTTCGTCAGAATGTATTATGGTGCATTATTCACCAATGTTTGTTCTCAAAAAACAGTGCATTGTGTGTAATACAACCTGTGATTTTTATTAAATTAGTTAGTTTTTAAGGAAGGCCAGAGCTTCAGCTGTGTCAAATAGATTGTTCCCTTTAGTTAACATTATTTAAAAGATAATTATATTCCGATTTGATCATGTCCCCTATCAATCCCAATCTATTTGACACAGCTGAAGCTCTGGCCTTCCTTAAAAACTAACTCATTTAATAAAAATCACAGTATAAATATTAGATGAACATTGAAATATAATGCAGTTCATTACAGACACAAAGTACAGCCTCCAAAGAGACCATAGATCTGAATCATCACCTCTTTGTCGCCGTCCCTCCCTACAGGCCGATCATGCAGGCTGCATGGGGCCTCACATTGCGCAGGGGGCCTCGGCTTATGAGCTCGGCTTGTGCGCAGTTCTCCGTGCACCCCCGTTTCCTGCTTTTTACCTTTACCTTATGATTTCACTTTAATGCACTACTTCATGAACTTATTTCAATTCTTTATCACTTTGTATGTCTTAAGTGTGCTGTTTGTTATGATGTGCATCTACAGTAAAGCCTTTGAATCTTTAGCATTTAGACAAACACTCACCTGAAGAAGAGGAGGAGGTCACGTGGTGTGATGAAGAGGAATTGCAGCATCAGGTGTTCTTAATATGCAGTCTTTTATCTTGTATCCCTGCATCTGTAAACTCAGGTGCATTACAGGTACAGTCAGGTTCTTTAAGAGTGTATCGCCCCCTAGAGGCCTGGAGTGGAAATACAGTTGGAAACACAGGTCTAAACAGCTTTTATAATAAAAGAAAATACTATTAAAAGTCCTGAAAATAAACCATACGGAAGTGAAAATATAAGATTTAAGCAACATTTATTTAAAATAAAAGTGTTGATTGTGCAGTAAAGTTGATTTTAACCCACGTTACTGATGAAAACTCGACAGCAGGAAGGTCTGTTTTGATTTCTTTTTAATATATAGAATATAAAATCTTCCTCCAGTGACAAACCATAAGTAAAACATTTGATCGTAAAAGAAAGAAACACAAAAACCTGAGGGTGGTGCTGTCGAGCTGCAGTGTATTAACACACACACACACACACACACACACACACACACACACACACACACACACACACACACACACACACACACACACACACACACACACACACACACACACACACACACACACACACACTTTAAGAAACACACACTTCCTCTATGACGCTCTGATGCACTCTCCAGGAACGCTGAAGAGTACGTAAGTCAAATCAAACTGTATCACTTTCTTTGTTGCCTCATACCTGATCCCAGGATATCACCACAGCTCCACTAAATGTGCAACACCTTCCTTGGCTCTGACACAAACTGTATGTTGTTTATAAAGTGAGAGCCAGGGCAAAGAGAGGTGTTCAACCCAACAAAGCGTTGTGTTGTCAGTGTGTTGGAGATAGAGAGAGAAACACAACTCATTATAACATTGATTAAAAGTACTCTTTTTATTTGGGTTATATATCATTAAAGCCGTAGTAAAAAAAGGAGTAACATATTCCATTGGGACTTAAGCTAATTAAAACATCCTAAGATACTGGAGGCATTTCAGCTTTAGGAATACATATAGAGTAAAAAGAGAGTATAGTAAATATATTGTATAGACTATTGATCAGATATATACAGCATGTGCAGCAGTTACAGTAGGCAGTACAGGTATATATACTGTAGGTATAAGTAAACGCTATGATAATTATAAGACATTATATGAATCATTAATTGAAAAACGAGATAAAACCATTATTAAAGTTATTAAATCGACACTAGGGTGAATGAGTTCCCCTAGAGAACACAATTAACAAAAACATTTTATGGATCATTTTACAATTTAAATATTTTATGAATTCAACCCAACACTTGTATGTTTGAACATGTGCAGCAGTTACAGTGAGAAGTGAAGGTATAAGGTGTGAGTACAAGTACTGCTAATATTGAGATGTTATATACAGAGACTGTAGACTATAGATCAGATATATAACTATGTATGGGAATGTGAGAGCATACTTAAAGGACGTGAAATCAGAAATGAATGAATATAATAAGCTTTGTTTCCTATCATATGGAGGTGAGTTTCTGAAGGGCCTCTCATGGGGCTCAGGTGTTCTCAGTCATCAGAAATGTTCCAATGATCTCATGGTTCTCCTGTTTTCTCCTGTAGAATATGAGGAGGTGATGTTTGACAGCATGGACTCTGAGGGGAGTTGATGTTGTTGATCAGTCACACAGAGGCAGAAGCCCCTCCATCGTTTTCATAGTTCACCTCATCTTCATCTTCATCTTCATCATTCTGCTCCTGTCACCATGGAACAGAGACATGGTGAAAACACAGAGCAGAGCTGGAAAGTAACTAAGTACATTTACTCAGTTTTGTACTTCAGTATATATTTTAAGGACTTTACTTGACTATCATCAGTTAATGCTACTTTACACTTTAACTGCTCCTTATTCTGGAGCTTAATGTTGAACTTTTTACTCGTCTTCATCCATTCATTTTTATTACACATTCTTGCTTTAACATCTTTTATATTCCTGTTTTTATTTTCTATTTATTTCATTCTTAAATTGAACAGAAATCACCATCTATGATGTATTATATGACAAATATAACTAGTTAAGCTACCCAGTAGTATGTCAAGTACTTTTAATAAACCATACATTGCAAATGGAAGTGATACACATTAAAACATCACTTATTATAATCATATATTATATTATTACATTCTGCATAATCAGTACTTTCAATGTAGGTATATTTGTATTATTAATCATATTTATATATTAGAGTATTTCTACATTGTAGTATTGCTACTTTTAATGAAGTACAATATCTCAGTACTTCCTTTAGTGCCTTGCTCAAGGGAACCACAGAGATACTTCATTTCAACACAACATGCACACTTTACTCCTTTGTTGAATCTTCTGCCTGTCTTATAATCACAGTTAAATGAAAATAATAAATATTACAAGCTATTATTTTATATTTAAACTCACAAGGTTTTTTGTCATCCGTTTTTTGCCCCCTGAAAAAAACCAAAAAGACAAACATGTTGACTTCAGCTTCCAACGGTTTACTTTTTCTTTTCTCTTGAATCTATGAACCCTCACCTTTAGCTCTGGTCCAGATGTGGACTGTAACCACGGTGATGATGAGAGCTGCTAACCCCACAGGCACCATGATGACCCACCACACAGCTGGAAAGAGAGAAGTCCCAAGTGTGAAATATAGTCACAGGTTTTTAGCTGTTAAATGTATTTCTTCTCTTCAGTCACTACCTGGTCCTTTTTCTTTGTTGTTGTTTTCAGATGTCCATTCATGAATTGCTGGTGTTCCAGTTGAAAAAAAAAATGACAAAATGATGTGACGTCAAAACCTCAAATCCCCAAAAGCATTATCTGTGATTAAATGTGTGATAAGTGATGTTAAACAACTCATTATATTCTAACCTGGTTTCTCAATTAAGAGCTTCTCTTTTTTATCATAACCATCTGTCACTTCACATTTCAGAAACTCATTCAATCCCTGATAAATGTGAGATGTTGAAAATGTGTTGTTTCAGTATATTCTTATAACAAGACTGTTAGAAGTGATTTGAAACAGCTCAACATGTTCTCACCTGAGGACTGAGGGCTGACGGGAAACAGATGAACTTCTCCTGTGTAACCATTACTTACATTACAAGTAAACAACTCAAACCTTGTTGTGTAACTAAAGAGAGAAGTCAGAAATGTCACAGAGGCAGAGCAGGAAGACTGTGATGTCTTTATCTCTCTGTGATCTTTATCCACATCTTGACCCTGAAGCAGCCACTTCACTGGGTGTGTACACCGTCCAAATGTCTCCACAGAGCAGTTTAACGTCACCTCATCATTGTCCAGATGTCCAGTCACTGAAGATGGAGATATTGTGAGAGAAAGACAACAAGACTAACATTAACTTCATCACTGTAATCATTATTATTATAATTATAATGATTCAGTATATTGCTCTATAGAGACAGTTTAAAACCTTATGATGTAAATACTCACTGGTAACAACAGACAGATAAACACGAGATTCCGGACCTTGATGTT